CAGGTATTCTTTATTTGTTTTAAGTAAACAAACAGTTTTTGTTTATTCTAATTAGAACAAAAAAGGTGAAATCGACCATTTTGAAGCAAAAGAAGAGTCTTAAAACAAATACTTATAAAAATGCAATTTTAAGTAAGATTAACAGTCATTTCTCCTATATGGAGCAATGCTTGATTAACAAACCTTAACTTCAAAAAATTATATCTTGAAAACTACTCAGTATATTCTTTTCAAAATTTTAATTACAAATAATAAAGAGATGCTCTACATGATGGTAATGATAAAAAAAATTACTCGTAGGGTTTTTCTTAGATTATTTCGATTTACTTCGAACTTCTTCGAACACTGTTCGAAGAAAAGTGTGCTAATATTCAATTTCAAATTTCATATCATTCTAAAGGGAAAGGCCATCCCATTAGAATGGTCTTCATTTGAAGAAAATCCGCCTAATTGAGTAATGATTTTTTAAAGTTAAAGTATTTTAAATTCATTTAAATTAGAAAAAAATTATTTAGTTCAAAGTGTGTGGACTTGATTTGTTTCGCTGAGAGGAACAAAATGATATATAATTTGTCAAGTTGTCACGACATGACTTTTTTTTTGTCGCCCTGTGTAACAAGCATATATACCAAAAAAATTTATGTTTTTAAAGGTTTTTCAAGAATTAATTAACTTGCAATACCTATAGAGAGGCTTCTATAATAACTATTTTCGACTTGTTTCTTTAACGAAAATAGGTCTAATTTTTTATAATTATCAACTGTACAAAGACAATATGAAAGAAATAACTGACACGGTTGAATATTGTGGACAACTTTTAGTTTTAAAGTTATCTTCTTCAAAATATTTACAACCCCTGCCTACCCCTACCTATCTTAATTTAAGAGATGAAATAAAAGGATGAACGATGATATATAATAGATGTAAAGTTAAAATGATTAATATAATTTTCTGTTGTATCCCTTGACGGCAGTTGAACTTTACAAGGGAGGTAATCTGTCCGGAACGAGTTTCGTCTCGGGTCACAATCTATAAATTTTGAAGTATTTGAATTTGCCAGGCCGACTTAGGGGATTGCCGTCCTAAATCATGTTGTTAATGAAGCAAACACGCCATGAGAAAAGATTATATTTACATAAAAGATGTTCACGTGCTATAAGCGACCGCACATTTAATGTCAAGACTAAAACAAGCAGCTGGATAATTATCATCCAGCAAGAGATGCACAAAGTCGGCGATAATTATGATAACGTTAAGAGAAGACGTGTTCAGAGGGCCGTCTGGGGAAACACTCGACTACGTCTTGGCCCACAATTAGCCGTTTCTCTCCCTGGCAGAGACGCAGCTTCTTCAACGGATTGCTGGTAGGCAGCTCGTTAGAGAATACGGTGACAAAGGAAGTGGTAATGATGACCGCCGACTGACACTTGTCGAGTTTTAATAAGGCGTTTCAAATACATTTGACGCATTTTTCAACTTTTTAATTGTGACCAAGTTGTTTTATCCATTTTTTACAAAACAGCCACCACAGGGTCCAGATTTGGCACCTATACTAACAACCGATTTTAGCCATTTTTATAAGTATTTTATTTCTTAACAATTTTGAGCCAAAAACTCACCTATTTTACAAGATTTTGCTCACACTAGCCAAAAAATTACCAAATTTCATCGAAAATGACGATATTTATTGTTCCTTAAAATGTTTATTTAGCAAGCTTTTCCAAAATTTTGCTCAAACTGCTCTAAAAATCACCTAATTCTGTCAAAAATAACATAGTGTTGCCGCTTTAGAGAAAAAAGAAGTTATTAAACTAAAATTTCATTTTCTCGTAAAATTTTGCTTAATCTTGTCGAAAAATTGCTTAAACGTTATTTTTGATGCTGTTTGGAGCATTTGAGTACTTATTTGCTAAAAATTAATTTTCTTCGCTAAAAACTACTACTGTAATCTACCCTATGGGTGTTATTTGTACAAAGAATTATTATTATTACTGTACAGGGTGATTTTTTAAAACGAACCATTTTATAAAAAAAACAAAAATAAGAAAATTTCGAGGCAGGTCAAGTTTTATTTACAAAGAGACACCGTTTAGTGTCTTTTTGAGAATTGTAGCATCAAACTCATTTGTAATACAAACATCCCCTTCAAAATTTTATATGGCATCACCCCTTTTATAGTCCGACAAAGCGTTTTACTCTAAAATAGTACTCTAAAGCAGGTACGAACAAAAACACTCCGCCACTGGTTCCAAGCTCACTATTTGTTTCTGAGAAACTGCAGTGGCTCCACGCAAAATTTTTTTATATTAGATTTCTATACACTGAATTCGTTTATTGAAGAAGCTGTCCATTCTCGGAAAAATTAACGAGTCTACGAAAGCATGAGTTTGTTATGAAAAATTGAAAAGTTTCAATTTGCACTAATCAGCTCCCAAGATGACATCGACAAAACGAAAATTTTTAACCCTTCAAGAAAAAGTTGAAATTATTCAATACGCTGAGAAATGTAAAATAAGTGTTCGACAACTCGCTCAAAAGTTTGTTGTTGAAAAAACTCAGGTTGCCGGTATTATAAAAAAAAGAACAAATTTTGAATGTTTAGTGAACATGGAAACAACAAAAGAAAGAAAAGGTTCCCTAAAGGTAAAGCTGCTGCCTTAGACCACGTAGTGTACGATTGGTTCTGTAAGGTGAGAAATAAGAACATTCCAATTTCGGGGTCGTCTCTGAAAGAAAAGGCTTTAAAAGTGGCAAAAGACTTGGAATTTAACACTTTTAAAGCTTCCAATGGGTGGTTAGAAAAATTTTGTCAACACTGGCAGATTACTTTTAAATCCATATGCGGAGAAGCAGCACAAGTAAATGAAGAAGAAGTGGCACAATGGAAAAATAAGTTAAAGGGACTTATTGAACAATATTTCCTGAGGATATTTGTAATGCGGACGAAACAGCTTTATTTTTCTGTGCCTTGCCTACAAAAACTTTTGCGCTAAAAAGTGAAAAATGCAGTGGCGGAAAAGCTTCAAAGAAACGTCTCACAATTTTATTTTGTGTCAGTATGACCGGAGAAAAAGAAAAACCGCTAGTCATAGGGCAAGCAAAAAATCCACGATGTTTTAAAGTAGCCACCATTGATAAGTTAGAAAATTTATTATTAACAGGATGTTGTCATCAATGGATATTTTACAAGATACAGCTGAACTACAAAAGTCAACAATAAATAAGTGCTTTTTGAGAGCCGGATTTGGAAATTACGAAGAACAAAATTTGACTCAAGAGGATGAAGACAGTGAAGACAATGTGCCTTTATCTGAACTAATGGTGCCAAGAACGAATATTTGTTTCATGGACTATGCAGAAGTTGATGAAGCATTGTACACCGAAAATCCAGAATTAAATATCAATGAGTGTGTCCAAGAATTTTTAGAAGAACCTGATGGAAAGAGTGATGAAAGTGATAGTGACGAAGGAGAAATTTGCCTCAAAAAAAGACGGAAATTATGTTTCATATTGAAAAAGTTATTATAAAAAATACGGTTCTTAAAAACAAACAAAAATCAATGATTTTTTTAATTTTTTCTGGAATGCTTTTTATTTTGTCGGAGTAATAATGTTATTTTTGTTATTTTGTTGTTTTTTTGTTATTTTGAATAAAAGGTTTTTCAATTTTTTTTATTAATTTTGCACACCTCCCATTAAAGGACACCTCTTCACAGCAGACAATTAAAGATTCCCCATCGGTGTCCGCTATTGAGAGGTTTTACTGTACCTCATTTTGACCAGGAATTTGAATGTGTAGTTTGTTCGAGTTTTAAATATTTTTTATTTATATCACGCAGAACAAGATCTAGCAAAACAAATTAAAAGTGCAGGGATAGCTCTGAAACGTCGTTTGCGTTGAATGACAAATGTCAAAAAATTTAAAAAAAATTGTCTCAATTTTTTTAATTTTTGTTTACTTTTTTCACTTGTTTTGAAAAAACACCCTGTATAATTAAAGGAGTTATTGTAAAAACTTGACAAACCACACAGTCATGCGTTTGGGTATTATCCAAAAGATTTGTGGAGGTTACTGTCTGAGTTACTGCACTTATCAAAAAACCTAGGAGTTATAATATCAAAGTATAAATTTTATAAATTTTTCTGAAGTTTCAAAGTCCTATTTCTCAATAATTTAATTATGAGGCTTATCACGTTTTTACAATAAGGCCTTCAATTATACAGGGAGTTCCATTTTTATTGTTACAAATTTAACCAGGTGATAGAACATTCAATTTTAAGATAAAACTTTCCTATAAACATATATCGAAAATTTTTATATAAGGGAGCCACATCTTTTAATAGATTTTTTCAAGTATTTCAGAAACCATCGTGGACATAATTACAAAATTTGGTACAACTGATAACCTTTATACACCCAAATGAATTCAAAGATAAAATGTCGAAATTTTTACTCAGGGGCATCCTAAACTGGGGGGTTTAGGGTAAAAAGTAACCTAAGTATTTTGGCGGTTGGTTTTTGCCACTTTCAGCCCCAAAGTTCTAATTTTCATAGTTTTTCACAAACAAGAGGTCTCTTGCTTTTTGGTTTTTTCGATAAAACTTACCGTTTTTGAGTAAAATCAGTTTACAATTTGTCTTACAGACCACAAAGAGGATAAAAATTAAAAATCAAATTTGTATCACTGTTTAAGAAACCCGTGATTAACTGATCAACTGATTTTTAAATTCGTTCAGATGTTTAAAAGTAATCAGCTGTACCAACTCAACTTGATACATGTTCATAGAAAACTTTTGTCTTAAAATTGAATATTCTATCACCTGTTTAAGTTTGTAACAATAAAATCGTAACACCCTGTAGATAACAAAATTTAAAAAAGCACACTTTCAGTCAAAGTTTCCCATCTTTTATTACAATTTTCATAATTCTAAACCGAAACGTGGAAAACATTATTTAGAGGTGAAAAAAATTGATTAATGTCTAATAATTTGATTTATAGGAGAACAAGACCGAAACCGTTTGCGACGGCGAGGAGGAAAACGGCGACGCCGACTTCATGGAGAACGGTCGCGACGGCCTCACGGGTACCCCCGACTCGGCCAACTCCCGCAACGACAAAGAACTCGAGGACCTAATGGACGTCGAGTCCACAACCAAGACCTGCATAATGCATGCGTTGAGCATTGTTAGCGCCCCCACGTCGCAACCCGGCTCATCGCCGCCCCCACTCGCCGCCATTGCGCCCCACACCGACGCCCCCTGGAAGCCCCAGGGACACACACGACTCTCCCCCAAAATACAGCACGAACCATATTAGTGACCCAAACTCGGCATTTTTCATGTAGTGAAAAGGAGCTTCGGTTATTTTCTCTACTGTTTTATTGTTTTTTTTTTTCTAATAAATAGAGTTCCTGACAAGTCGGGGACTCTAGACTAGAATTTAGTAGTGTAAACCCGTCTTTTGTCAGATTCTCAGGAGATTAGCTGCAATCATGATTCTTGAAAATTTGAAATCGGAGAAATTTTTTTAAGAAAAGCTAATTAGACTAGACCTTTGTAAATATTTATGTAAAGGAAAAAACAATTTGACATATCATAAAATTATTGTACTTTAAGAAATTATTGTTAATCAGTGCAACTCCCAAAAATTGTAATTTTTCGGAGTTTTACTGAGTTTTTTTTTAATGTAATAACGAAATGAAACTAGAATTTAGGTATCATACTTAGTGAATGCTGTGTTGAATTAATTATATTTATAAAAATGAGATACTATTAGACAATTTGCGATTTACGACCAAAGTAAAAAAAAACTTTGAAAAAATAAATTTGTTGCCTAAAATTTATAACGATACAAGAAGAATGAACAAATCTATATTATTAATGAAGAACTATAAAAACACGAACAAAAAGTGTGACTTGTTGTGTACTAAGATAATTTTTGCTTCGATTGAATTTTTCTATAACTGTCTGAGCTAATTCTTGGAGTTTATTTTCGAATTGTGTTAGTTGTTATAGGACTATAAAGTGTGAATGACCAATGTTCTATGAAACTACAATCATGTTAAGGACAAAAAGTATGAACTTTGCCTTGTGAAATTATTATTAGAGCTTTTTGTTTCAGAGTATTGCTGACGACCATGTTATTTATCTCTATGTATGTAAAGTTCTTGTCATAATGCTAGTTATTGAAAATATATGTCCTCCATTGTACAGCTGAATTTTATTTACCACTTCCCAGGTTTTTCTGTTTTCTTCAAAAAAAAAAAAACTCAAAGAAAATGATTAGCTAAAAAAAGTGTAGCTTTCTACTGATGATATTGTGGTTAATTTTTTAGATTTAGATACTATTAAGTATTATTTAATATACCTAAAATGATTTATAAAAAACTTACTTTACTTTACTTAATCTTAAAACATTTCAAGATTTTATATTTTCTTTTTTTCAAATTATTATTGTTTTTGGTTCAGAATAAAAAATCATTTGCAAAATCTTTAGTTTATTTTAAAATATTTCAAGATTGCCAACCGGGCTACCAACTCGTTCACTTCTTAAACAACTTTTTTACTTTACACATAGAACAATAAATAGTTACTAAAAATTTTAATTAGATAATATTGAAATATTTCAAAATTTYATATTTCTGAAAACTCAGTTCTCAAATAAATTATCCATTTTTTTGGTTTAAACGTAAGATAAAAAACGATAATTTATTATTAAAATCTTTTATTA